TTTGTAGCACTTCATTCCTTTTTATTGCTACATAATATTCCATGTATGAATACCACATTTTGTTTATCCATTCATACACTGATGGACATTTGGGTTGTTTCTGCCTTTTGGCTATACGAATAATGCTGCTATAAACATTTTTGTACAAGTTTTTGGGTGGACATACAATTTTCATTTTCTTTAGCATCTAGCTAGCAGTGGAACTGCTGGGTCATATGCTAATTCTCTTTAATCTTTTGAGGAATCAGCAGTCTATTTTTCAAAGTACCATTGCTAGGAATGTATGAGCATTCCAATTTCTCCACATCCTTATCAATACTTGTAATCTGTTTCCTTGATTATAGCCATCTTTGGAATGTGGAGTTGTATCTTATTCTGGTTTTGATTTACATTTCCCTAATGACTAATGATGTTAGACATCTTTTTGTGTGCTTATTGGCCATTTTTCTATTTTTTTGAAAAGTCTATTCAGATTTTTTGTCCATTTTAAAATTGGGTTTTTGTTGTTAAGTTTAAAGAGTTCTTTATATATTCTAGATACAAATCCCTTATCAGATAGATGATTGGCAAATATTTTCTCTCATTCTGGGGGTTCTCTTTTGACTTTCTTGGCTGAATTTTAAAGGCTGCAGGAGATAATCTTTACTGATTTTGTTTGTAAACTAGGTTCCTATGGTGTCTATAATAAAAATGGATTTTCATGACTGGGAGGACTTGAGGTTAAATGATAAAAATTTCTCGATCTTAACTTTCCAAATGGAGTGTTTTTGTTTCAACTCAGATCAATTCCAATCTGCAGCCTCTGAGAACTATACTTACACAAATAGTCATGTGGGGCACAACACCCACACTGTTGCCCTTGGGCTCTCTGCTCCCCACCCTCATCACTGCTGCTCTTTACTGGCCATGTTCTTCCTATTTCAACATTTATCTCTTCCTGTTTACAAAAGTAAATTTCAATATGTAAGATCTTATTACCTGTTTCAACCAAGACAGAAATGTGTCACCACTGACAACCTTGGTCTAGGGGACACAGAGTCACTTCATTTGACAAAGAAGCTGCCTTCCATTAACCCTCTGGGAAGATGATAATGTCTTAGTTGATCCTTTTCCTAGTAATAATCTAATAAAGTAGAGCTTTATTTGCTAATACTTTCTCCCATTCAGTAGGTTGCCTTTTTCATTTTCTTGGTTTCCTTTGCTGTGCAGAAATTTTTTAGTTTGGTATAAATCCTACTTATTTTTGCTTTTGTTGATTTTACTTTTGATGTCAAAAGTGACCTGTGTCAAGTTTATTACTTGTGTCAAGTTTATTACCTCCTATCTTTTCTTTTAGGAGTTTTATGGTTTTAGGTATTTGGTTCAAGTCTTTAATGTACTTTGAGTTAACTTTTGTATATGGTGTCAGGTAGTGGTTCAGTTCCATTCTTTTCTATGTGGCTGTCCAGTTTTCCCAATACTGTTGAAGAGATTGTTCTTTCCCCATTGTATATTCATGTCCCCTTTGTCGTAAATTAATTGACTGTGTGTGGGTTTATTTCTGGGTTCTGTTCTGTTGATCTGTGTGTCTACTTTTATGCTAATACCATACTGTTTTAATTACCACAGCTTTGTAATGAAGGAGTTTGAAATTAGAGAATGTGATGGCTCTAACTTTGTTCTTTCTCAAGATGCTTTGGCCGTGCATGGCATGGTCTTTTGTGGTTCCATATAGATTTTAGGATTTTTCTTCTATTTCGTGTCCAGGTTTTTATGTGGACATAAATTTTCAACTTGTGTAAATACCAAGGAGTTTGGTTGCTAGATCATACTTTTTTTTTTTTGCTAGATCATACTTAAGAGTATATTTAATTCTGTAAGAAACTGCAAACTGTCTTCCAAAGTGGTGTACCATTCTGCATTCTCACCAGCAATGAGTGAGAGTTCTTACTGCTCTACATCCTCAGTGGTATTTGGTGTTTCAGTGTTCTGAATTTGGACATTCTCATAAGTGTGTAATGGTATCTCATTGTTTTATTTTTTTTTTATTTATTTTTTTTAAATTTTTTTTTAATTTTTATTTATTTATGATAGTCACACACACACACAGAGAGAGAGAGAGGCAGAGGGAGAAGCAGGCTCCATGCACCGGGAGCCTGATGTGGGATTCGATCCCGGGTCTCCAGGATCGCACCCTGGGCCAAAGGCAGGCTCCAAACCGCGGTGCCACCCAGGGATCCCTTGTTTTAACACAAATTTTCCTCAGTTAAATATGGCATTTTTTAAAACTGAGAATCTGTGATATCTTGAGGACATACTTTTTTTTAAGTTACTGCCTTAGTCACAGAAATACCATTCAATTGACTTGCCATAGGTTTCTGTATAAGATACATTTCAGTTAACCCATGAAACCTCCTTTGTGCCTGTCCTCATTTTCAGCTGAATTCCATACAAGAGTCACCTGGTCCTTGTTGATATATATCCCATTGCTGACTTGTTTTTCCATTATTGGCTACCTATGTTGCTAACCACATCTGTGCCATCTGTGCATGTAGACCTCTGCCATGGATCACTGTGAAACTGCCAAAAATTGTTTCTATGTTTAAATATTGCTATTAACACTGTCCTTCCATAGAAATATTCTATGTTCTAGACATTTAGTAATGCTCCTTAGGGGCACTATTTCCTGATGATGTTTTTGAAGTCAGGTTATATAACTACACACACACACACACACGCACATATCTAGTAAGAGCACTTCTCATCTGATGTCTCTTATTATGTCTGGGATTGTAATGGTAAAAGAAGATATGATTTAAAATTCCAGAAAAAGACACCGTTATTTTTCTGTAACAAGCAAGGACATTTGGATTAAAAATGTCTTACTCTAAATTGAGGTTTCTATTTTAAAAATATATATAATTTAATACAGTTTTTAATTTATTTTTTAAATTTTTTTAATTTTTATTTATTTATGATAGTCACACAGAGAGAGAGAGAGAGAGAGAGAGAGAGAGAGAGAGAGGCAGAGACACAGGCAGAGGGAGAAGCAGGCTCCATGCACCGGGAGCCCGACGTGGGATTCGATCCCGGGTCTCCAGGATTGCGCCCTGGGCCAAAGGCAGGCACTAAACCACTGTGCCACCCAGGGATCCCTAATACACTTTTTTAAAAAAGCAAAATATAATAATATCCCCAAGGAATTTAAACCTTGGCAAAAGCTTCTTGCTAACTTTTTCCTACCATATAACTTTTGTGCCCCCAGCCAGGAGATTGTTACCCATTACCCATGGTCATCTTCCATTGCTACTTTTCAGAGGGTTTTATCATATCTACATGTGTTTATATGTGAATTTATCCATTCTCTTCTGGATGGCCATTTTCAGGTTTTTGCTTTTTGGAGGTCCTGTTTAGAACATTCTTATATGTTTAGAACATTCTCATATGTCTGGAACATATGCATGTGTTTGTGTGTGTGTGTGTGTATAATACATATCTGTCTAGCCTGTATACCTAGAAATGGAATTGTGGGATATTCAGTTTGATTTTTTTAGAGTGTGTGAGTGGGGGTAGAGAGGTGGGGAGAGGGGTAAAGGGAGAGAGAGAATCCCAAGCAGACTCCGTGCTAAGTGCAGAGCCCAACTCATGACTCAGTTCCATGACCCTGAGATCATGACCTGAACCAAAATCAAGAGTTGGACACTTAACCAACTGAGCTACCCAGGCACCCCACAGTTTGGTAATTTTTAGAGCAAATACTAAAATAACTGCAAGCCTACAATTTTCCTTTACCATATTATCTCTCTGTTGAATGTCTTCCACTTTCACATCACACCCATAATATAAGTTTTTACAGAATGAGTCCGTATTATGCCTGTTGCCAAATCAGCTCCTCTCTTTTTTCAAGGTCAGGCTTTTAACTGTTAAAACAATCATATTACCATATATATTGCAAGCACAAGTACTACTCCCACATTTCCTGTTATTCCTTGTGCTTCACTCTTTTCTGAATCCAAGTCCTGACCTTTGCTCAGATTTTTCATTGATCTAAACAAACTATACTGGTATTTCCTGGTATATTAATTTTGAGCACCAAAGCACCTCAGTTTCCATAGGACCTGCCCTTCCCCACACTGCATTACCAATATAAGGAAAGACCCCTGTTTATACACAGTTTAGTTTGCTCAGGACAGCAGCTTGATCTGGTGTTTAATAATGTGTGGGCATATGACAAAGATATTTTAAGGTATCTGTATATTACAATTAAACAATTGATAAATCTAGTAGGTTAAGTAACCATAGTTACACAAAATAAAAGTCTCTGGAGGGATCCCTGGGTGGCGCATCGGTTTGGCGCCTGCCTTTGGCCCAGGGCGCGATCCTGGAGACCCGGGATCGAATCCCACGTCGGGCTCCCGGTGCATGGAGCCTGCTTCTCCCTCTGCCTGTGTCTCTGCCTCTCTCTCTCTCTCTCTCTCTCTCTCTCTCTCTCTCTCGGTGACTATCATAAATAAATAAATTTAAAAAAAATAAAAATAAATAAAAGTCTCTGGATTTCTAAAGAATCCTTCCTTGAGAACTAAAGAAAGAATTTACATTCCATAAGGAACACACACTAGGAGAAATGAAACGTTGAGAACCACTGAATTATGAGATATCAGGTTCAGGTAAACACACATTTTTATAAAAACTAAGAATTAGGGAAGGCCGAGATCTCAATTATGATTTCATGTACAGTTATATAATAGTATATAGATCAGCTCCCTAATCATGAAGTATCATCTGATTATCCAGTTATATGGCAAAAAAATATGTATAGTATATAATGTGTGTTTAAAATAAACATATCTGAAGATCAGAGAAAATATTAATATGGAAAATTTATTAAAAAAACTTAGAAACACTATATTACAATAGTGTTTGGAGACTGCTTGAGAAACTTCCTATGTTCATTATAAGTATTATTTTTGGTGTAATTACATAATTCAGTATAAAATATTTATTTACCTTCTATTTGTTAGGAAGCCTTTCTGCTGGATTTGCAACCAAGGAATTATCACCAATAGAGGACATTAATAAAGGAGAATTATACCACTTAGTGATATTGGAGAGAAACAAAAGTGATGACATCAAGAATTTTGATCTCAAGGAAGTCTGGGAAAATGTGCATGAGTTTGAAAGTCAGTGGGGATATGATGCAAGAAATTACAAAGAAGTGCCTTTGACCCATAACAAAAATCTCACTCATAGAAAAGATGAAGAACTTAAATCCTCAGTTACTTTTCCACAAAAACAGACTATTTCTATAAGAAATAATACATACCAATGTTTTATGCATGCCGAGCCATTTATAAGGAATTTGTTAAAACTGGAAAACAGCGTAGGTGATGCTGGAAACCAGGACATAAACTGTTTGGAAAATAGAATTGGATTAAGTTTGCAGGGACACCTGGCTGAACTGCAGAGATTTCATACTGAGGGAAAAATCTATAAATGTAATCAAGTGGAGAAGTCTGTCAACAATGGTTCCTCTGTTTCACCACTTCACAGGATTCCTCCTACTATCAGAAACATTTGGAATAAATATAGGAAGATATTAAAATATCCCTTGTTACCTGCACAATACAGGAGAGCATACAGTAGAGGAAAGTCTTACAAATGTAATAACTGTGGGAAGGCTTTTAGCAAAAGCTCAAACCTCATGAGTCATGAGAGAATTCATTCAGGACAGAGACCTTACAAATGTAATGAGTGTGGCAAAGCCTTTACAGAGCGTTCACATCTTACCCAACATAAGAAAATCCATACTGGAGAGAAACCTTACAAATGTAACGAGTGTGGTAAAGCCTTTAACCAGTGTTCAAACCTCACGAGACATCACAGAGTCCATACAGGAGAGAAACCATATAAATGTAACATATGTGGCAAGGTCTGTAGTCAAAATTCAAACCTTGCAAATCATCAGAGAATGCATACTGGAGAGAAACCTTACAAATGTAATGAATGTGGTAAGGCTTTTATCCAACGTTCACATCTTTGGAGTCATGAGAGAATTCATACTGGTGAGAAACCTTACAAATGTAACGAATGCAGCAAAGCCTTTGCTGAACGTTCAAGCCTTACTCAACATAAGAAAATCCATACTGGAGAGAAACCGTACAAATGTAATGAGTGTGGCAAAGCTTTTAAGCAGTGCTCACACCTCATTAGACATCAGAATACACATCCTGGAGAGAAACCACACAAATGTGATATATGTGGCAAGGCTTTTATCCAAAGCTCTAGCCTAATAGAACATCAGAGAATTCATACCGGAGAAAAACCTTATAAATGTAATAAATGTGATAAGGCTTTTATTAGACGATCACACCTATGGGGTCATGAGAGAACTCATACTGGAGAGAAACCTTACAAATGTACTGAGTGTGGCAAAGCTTTTGCTGAGCGTTCAAATCTTACCCAACATAGAAAAATCCATACCGGAGAGAAACCTTATAAATGTAATGAGTGTGGCAAAGCTTTTACCCAGTTTGCAAACCTTACTAGGCATCAGAAAATACACACTGGAGAGAAACCACACAAATGTGATGTGTGTGACAAGGCTTTTATACAAAGTTCAAGCCTCATGGAACATCAGAGAATTCATACAGGAGAAAAACCTTATAAATGTAATATATGTGATAAGGCTTTTATTAAGCGTTCTCACCTGTGGGGTCATGAGAGAACTCATACTGGAGAGAAACCTTATAAATGTAATGAATGTGGCAAAGCCTTTACTGAGCGTTCACATCTTACTCAGCATAAGAAAATCCATACTGGAGAGAAACCTTATAAATGTAATGAGTGTGGCAAAGCTTTTACCCAATTTGCAAAACTTACAAGGCATCAGAAAATCCATAATGAAAAACATTATAAACCTAATATGTGTGGCAGTGGTTTTATTCAAAGCTCAAGCTTTGGGGATCATCAAAGAACTAGTAGAAAGAAACCTTACAAATAAAATGATTAAGCAAGTTATTCAACATCAGAGATTCCATCATGGAGAGGAACCATATGAAACTAATGTATGTGGCAAAGCTTATAGCCAGGGCTTATACCTCACTTGATATCAGAATGTAAATCTCCAAAAGAAAGCAGACAAATGTAATGTATGGCAAGGCTTATCCAAAGTTTATACCTTGTGAACAAAACAGTTTATAGTAGGTAGAAGCCTTACAAATGTAATGAGTGATCAGCTTTATAAAAAATGTACAGCTTTTAGTGGGGGTAGGGGATGGGTGGGTGGGTAAAATAGGCGAATGGGATAAGAGGTACAAATTTCCAGTGATTAAAAAGTACTACTCTGTGGTCATGAAAGAAATTATATGAGATGAAAACTGTACAAATGTGTCAAGGTCTTTACTCTGGAAACACCAAAGAATTCCTACTAGATAGAAACATTACAAGTGTAATGAAGGTGAGAATTTATTTAGCCAATTCTCTCAATGGACTAAATAAAATTCATACTGGGGGGAAGTAGGTCTGTTTTGAGGATTAGCCAATCTTGGATAATTCCAGAGAAAATTAAAATTATTTAAAACTCATGAGATGATGTATATCAATGGAATAAGGCTATCTGTGGAAAGACCTAATTCTCTTTAGCTTATAAATTTTTAAAAAATGTTTTATTTTTAAAAATTTTAGTTTTTAGTAATGTCAACACCCAATATGGAATTCAAACTCATGACTCTGAGATCGTCACATGTCTTTCCTGACTGAGCCAGCCAGAAGCCCCTGTAAATTTTTCTTTATTACTTGAGGTTTCTTGAGTTGCATTGTTATTGAAGACTTACAACCTGAAGTCTGGAATGCATTGATGTTACACTTTCATTACATGCATTTCATTTGTCACCATAACAGTCTCAGAAGGGATTAGTAAGGTCAAAGGGCCTACTTAGATGGGGCTTCTTCATACCCATGTAACCTGGAAAAACTAGAATGCGAATTTTAAGATCTAGTATGGTATAAATTTGAGAGCATAGGCAGTGTCAGAGAATAGTGTAAATCTATTATCTAAGCTGCTATGTTTTCTGTGGTCATGGCCTCTTCTCTAGATTGGTATGATTGAGGGCCTTTGTAATTGATTACAGTAAAGGATGATCATGAAACAGAGTAGGCCAGGATATTGAGAGAATGAGATTTTCATGTGAGTAGAAGGACAGGTTACTAGGGATGGCATATGTGGTAGAAAAAATGGAGAGGGAATGATAGCCTCTCCCTTTTTTGAAAGGTAATAGCTGAAAAAAAAAGGTAATAGCTGTTATATGTTCATTGGTTAGTTAGTAAAAATTAGTCTTATTTTTGGAAACTGAAGAGAAAGTTCTAGAGGACTTTTTTTTTTCTAGAGGACTTTTTAAAGAACCAGAGTAGTATGTTTGTGAAGGATTCAAATTTGGCCACTGAAATTGCATTCTGATGTTTTATTTAGGATATCCTATTTCTCATATCTAAGTAAGTAAAATATAAACCTTTTTTTGTAACTCTGAGTGAACCATGCCTTTCATTAGGTCAAGTGCATCCCACCTCATTAGGGCATTTCATAATAAACACTGCATCCTTGGGCTCTCTAGGTTGAATATCATCCATAACAATTTTTTCCATGTTAGATTCAAACAACTTATGGGTTTGGAAATTATACTCATAATTTGAGAGTTATGCACTCCATTGCATGTCCCAAATGATTTCTGTGGCTATAATGAAGATACCATAGTGATGCAATTTCAAACTCTCACCCTCTAAAACCTGCCTCCCTGTTCATGAACATACACCATATGATTATATTTCTACATTCCTTTTGTGCTGAAATGAGACCCATAGGATTGTACCTTTACATGAAATGAAAATAGAAAAATAGTAAGCATATGAAAAGTATCAGGAAATGAAAAAATTTTCAGAAATAAGGATAGTGAACAATCTCTTTTGTACTAGAGTGCTCAGGGAAATGATTTGAAAAATCAGTGTTCATGAGATTACTCCTTTTTAAATATTTTATGTATTTATTCATGAGAGACAGAGACCTAGGCAGAGGGAGAAGCAGGCTCTATTCAGGGACCCCGATGTGGGACTTGATCCTGGTACTCCAGGGTCACGCCCTGAGCCCAAGGCAGACACTCAATCACTGAGCCACCTAGGCGTCGTCCCCATGAGTTTACTCTCAAGATTGAATGTACACAATGGGAATCTTGACAACTAGCAATCTCCTATATTTGCCCTCTAAAACATTTTTTGCTAGTTCACATTTGTGGTTACTCCACTGAAACAGGATGTTTGGATGTCAATTACTCCATACAATAAAGTGTTATGAGAGCTACTGTATAGGGCTGGGATAATGGTAATTTACTCAGGGTATGAACTTACAGCTAATACTAAGGGAAGGGCACTTGGGCTTTATTGTTAGCTTGCCCTGCCCACATGGGTAGAATAGCAAGAGGTTATATTAACAGGTATCATGAGTCAGGGATCAAAAATGGAGTCAGACTCTAATATAAAACTGGATGTTTACTCCTGACTTGGTCGGGAAAGACCACAATCTTCCTCATGCTAACCTACTACCGTCCTTTTCCTAGTGCACATATAGAACCCTTTGCACAATATGATTGTTGAAATGGTTGTGAAGTACTGTTTAGATAAATTACCTAAGGTATTTTACACTTAGGATGTCACAATTGTATTTCTACTAAGTTCTAGTCTAATAAAAATACATGTGGAAGTGATAGAAACTATGAGCTTTTTTTAGATCTCTCACTTTAAGGTAGAATAGAATGAATGGAATCTCAAAATCAGTCCTTTCATTTTTCTACCCAGATACAAGAATCAGAATATCTGCATGGAAACTTGGCAAATTATTTTAGTTTTGATTAAGATAAAAAAATAAATTCAAAGGAAATAAATCCTTAAGTTAGAAAACCCTAAGGACTAATAATTTTTGACTCTCATTTGGAACACCTAGCAGCAAGCTGTTCATGGGTTACATGGAACATACTCTCAAGGAACAAAGTCTGCTGATAAAATCTGTCTCTTCCCACAGTTCCCCTTGACTACCTTGTCAATAAGAGTTATTTTACTTTGGTCTGCAAAATGTTTTCTCTAACATCTTTTTCTTTTCCCTTCTGTTTAGGCATGAATATGAAATTTGAAAAAATCAAAAAAAAAAAAGAAAAAAAATCCCTCATATCTTTATTGAAATCACATTATTAAAATTACTAGCTAATTGGAAAAACTTCCCAGGATTATTATTTACACATAAACAAGACAAAACTAATCATGAAAAGGGCTATACCTCTCACCATTCACCATTCTTGGTCATACAGTGTCCATCCTGCTGTAAGGGGAGAAGGTTGCCGACAGGCAGAGCAGGCAGAGAATTGCCCAGAGGACTGGCCACATCCCATACTACAACTCTGCACTTCATGTTATGTAGGAATGATAAGCCACCTGTTTGTTTCAGCCACTGTTTTCCAGGAGGTCTGTCACAAAAACTGTCCTGAGAAATAGGATTAACATTTTGTATTTAGATTAGAATGGAGCATTTGAGGGGATTCTTGAATTTAGAATTTTTAGCTTAGAAAAGCTTTATTAGAACATCCCTTAAGGGGTGCTGGGGTGGCTCAGTCTTTTAAGCATTTGTCTTCAGCTCAGGTCATGATCCCAGGGTTCTGGGATTGAGCCCCCACATTAGGCTCCCTGCTCAGCAGGGAATCTGCTTCTCTCTCTCCTGCAGAGCTTATGCAGTAACTTTCTACTTTGCACTGATAAAATACATTCATTCTATTACTCAGGAACTATTCTAATCACTGGTATTAGCAGGAAACAAAATTACCTGCTTTCAGGTAGCTTGTATTCTATAAGGGCAAGTCCATAAGGATAATATATGATAATGATAAATATCATAAGTGTGTTCATGTACAGTGAGAGACTTCTAGGATTTCCTAATTTAAACAATGTTTCCAGGCAATGCCCACATGATGAGGTGGTATTTGAGCAGAACCAATGAAGGTATATCCTGCAAATACAAATAAGGAAGGGCAAGAGGGGAGAGGAAACAAGGAGATTTAAAATAAAGTAAAATTTGGGACTCTAAGGATGCCTGAGTGGCTCAGTGGTTGAGTGTCTGCCTTTGGCTCAGGATGTGATCATGGAGTCCTGGGTTTAAATCCCACATCAGGCTGCCTGCATGGAGCCTGCTTCTCCCTCTGCCTGTGTCTCTGCCTCTCTCTTACTGTGTCTCTCATGAATAAATAAATCTTTAAAAAAATAGGACTCTATAGTTAGAATTTTTAAAGTTTTAATAATCCCCAGCGTACTTAAGATGATATATATAATAGATCCAAAATTATGATGATCTGTTTGGAGAATGCAAAGACATATTTATGGCAGCCTTGCCACTATCAAGGGAACATAGCAGTGAGGTGGGTTAATGAATTAATGGAAAGGTAGCAAATACCATTTGTCAAAACTGCCTGGAGATTTGATTCCAGGACTTGTAAAGATACATACTTTTCCTATTTACTCCTGCAGCATGGGTATACTACTACCATTTTTGGAAATGTATATCAAGTAAAACTGGTGGGTCTTTTATGCCTCAGTAGTTATATCTTCAATGTCAATATCATAAATATTTTTGTATCATAAAATATTGTACTTTCAAATCGAATAGTAACAAAATTGCATATTTCCTAGGTTTTCCTCATGATTACAAGACCTACTGACTCCCAGTTATTTCCACTTTTACACTTCCAATTGAGATCAATCTTGTGTCATCAGTGCCTAATATTTGGCTACAAAATTTGACTTTTCAATATGTTTCACATCCCAAATTTTATACTAATTCAGATGTGGTAAGAATGTGACTCTATGTGCAACATCAGCAAACTTTTTATATAAGGAGCAGATAGTAAATATTTTATTCTTTGTAGGCCATACTGTTTGTTGTTTAAGATTTTAGTAAAATATTCACTTACTTGAGAGAGAAAGAGCACAAGCAGGGGCAGAGGCAGAGGGAGAAGCAGACTTCAGCTGAGCAGGGAGCCTGATAACAGAAGTCAATCCTAGGACCCCGGGATCATGACCTGAGCCAAAGGCAGTTGCTCAACTAACTGAGCCATCCAGGTACTTCTAGACCATACTGTTTCTGTTACAACTATTCCAGTTGGTCCTTATTGGATCAAAGGTGTGGCTACATTCCACTTCCACTTCCACTTCACTTAAAAACAGATGGTAGG